CCTGCGTCAATGCGCTCGTCCTGGCGCTTTCGTTGGAGCCACGGGAACGATCGTCGCCTTCTGGACTTGTTGCGTCATCGCGTGGCCAGCGGATGTGCGCGGCCGTCGGGCGACAGCCCACGTCGTGTAATGATGATGCCGGGCAAGACGAATGAGTGGCGGCGGCGGTCCGTTCTGGCAACCGAGCAGATGGAACCAGATCCGCGGATCGCTCGACGGCACCTTCCCACCCACGTGGCGCGCTCACGTCCGCGCTCTCAGCCAATCCAGTGGACCACGAAATTGAAGGCTTCTGTTTTTCTGGGTTCTTTTTCTTGGCCTTTCTGACGCGGTGATATGACGTGCACGGCAGGGGCGAGGAGGATATGCCCGGCAGGGACGCGTTATAACAGAACGCCCGCAGATGTTAAACGTAGTAGCGAGCTTTTAGTGCAGTCTCCATAAGGCAATCAGCGACAGCGAGAGCGACCTTTAGACTTTCGCGTGTTTATACAATCGGTCGTTTGTGCAGATGGTGCGCCAATCAAATTCGTCACCCACCACGTGTCGGACTTGCGATTCGCCGCAAAACCCACCCGCTTTCGTATTTTACACCTCTCGGCCACGTGTTATAACACTTTCGTTGCTTAGGATCGAAGCACGACACCAACGTTGGTGCTGCCCTACTTCAGCGCAGACACAGTGACCATACGGAGCGTCGTTTCATCTACCGGTAGTATTGAGACTCGACGTCGCACGTCAGATTGGCTACCTGATGGGCGCGTTGTACGAGGTGGAAATCCGCCACGGAAGCATCCTAGTTGATGCAACGAATGGACTGCAACGCGCTTCAACGCAACTCGATAGTTGCCGCCAATGCACATGCCCTTGATGCTATTGTACCACCATGACGGCGTTAGCTTTGTACGAACATGCAACAACACTTTACTTGCACTCATCGGACGGTGTCGCCATAGACCGCAGGATATCCAAGTACAAGCATTCGATACTATTTCAATAGAGTTGTTGGTGCGTACGGCTATAGTGCTTCCGTGTTGCCTTCGCGACGCCTCGCATGCACGGCCAACGTAGTGCTGACAAAAAGTCCTGGTTTGTTATGGCAGCGTGTTATTTGAATTTCACACGCTGCCGTCGCGCGCCATCGTGTGTTTTATGCAACTGCAGAGCACACGTTGCGAAATCCCACGCTTGCCGTATCCTGAAGCGCCGACGGATGTGGCATACATTGATCGAGTGTAGGATTCCACGCCGACGCATCGCACTCGGTTGCTTGTTCGGCCTCAACGAACTCGGTGCTTGCGACACGCTAGCCTCTCGCTGCCACTCAAACGTCGCGCAGCCGCGGCTCGGAAGGGCATACTTGGCGCGAGGCGATTTCTTTTTTTGAGCTAAATTGTACCGGCTCTTGCTGGCTTACCGACCGGTGTCGAGATTTTCACAAGATCACACGAGTGTTATAACAGTACGTGATAGGATGATAGATGGCGCCTCTTTAGGCAGGCGAGATCAATTGGCGCTGAATTCGCCAGCTTCTCGTTCGTCACTGGAGCTGTACACTGGTGGGTGATCGCTGTCGAGAGTCTGGTTCGGATCACAGCCAGCCCCACATTTCACTTGCGGCGATGTCGCAAATGTGACAGACATGCAGTCCAAAAGGTTTGACGTCGGGCGTTTCACGGTCCACCTGAATACGTACCGTTCGTGCAGTCGATACTATAACGTGACGTAGCTCAGCAATATCGTTGACGAGCGTTCCGTGTGCTGCGTGCTTGACTTGCAGTCCTTGCGGCCCATACTTTAGTAGAATTGGGAAACAGCTTGTGGTGAATATTGTACCCAGCTTCACTGGCTCAGCCATTGGAACCAACACACATGATCGAACCCACGGCGAAGCTCACGCATTTTGCTACGATTCAGTCGATTGCTTCAGCAGCAACGAGGCTGGCAACGAGGTACAATTTCGTGGCTCGAACAACAACGAACGATACAGCATGTCTGTGTTATAACAGTCACGGGGTGAGTTTCACACGGAAAGGCCACGTGAAAATCGCAGCTGAGCCCGCTCAATTGGGCATCCAGGATGCTGACGACTTGAGCCACATGGCGACGGCCCGAAACATGTCGCAGCCAGCTCAGGGATTTCTGTGGACCTGGCCAAACCGCCCACCTCGCTCTTCATTCTGCAATTTGCACCGGACCTCGCCCATGGTTGCCAATTCCACGGTCATTGCCGCGCCGGCGTGGCCCGCCACCATGACGGACCTGCAGTTCGCGACGCTTGTTGGCCTCCCGATCGTCTCGCTCGTCGCCATCTACGTCTTCCTCCGCATCGTGTGGAAGCCGCTCGCTGTCACCAAGGCCGAGACGCTCCCGCTCCAGACCAAGGACACGGAGGTTGTCGTCGCTGCCGAGGCTGCCATCGAAGAAGGCGAAGTCGCTGGCGACTACGACGCAGACGTTCGACTTTGTGTTTGCGATCGGCCTCGGCCTCTACCTCGTCGTGCTCCTCGTCCTCACGTACTTCTACCACATCGACTACTTCACGACGCCGGCGTTCTGGATCAGCCAGATCCCCAAGGTGCTCTGCATGATGCTCGTGTCGCTCATCGGCGGCATGATCTGCCGTGCGTTCTGCGCCGTCGACGACAAGGGCTACATCATGACCAACAAGGGCTCGGCGTTCAAGGTCAACTACACGCGCAAGCTCCAGCACTTCGCGGCGTACATGGTGCCGCTCGTGATCCACACGAGCTTCTCCGGTCCCCTCGCGCTCGCTTGGGGCGATCTCTTCACGATGGTCGGCTTCTTCGTCCTCATCAAGCCCATCCGTGAGGCGAGCAGCTTCTTCATGCTCCAGTTCAACTCGCTCGACCGCCCGGAAGATCGCCCGCACACGCTCAAGTGGATCATCGCTGGCAACATCGCGCCCGGCCTCTTCATCTTGATGTTCTTCAAGTGGCTCTTCGCCACGAACGGCAACCTCGTCTTCATCATTGTCTTCATCACGGGCATCGGTGACGGCCTCGCCGAGCCCGTCGGCATCATGTGGGGCAAGCACAAGTACAAGACGCGTGCGCTCTTCTCGACGCGCAAGTACACGCGCTCGTGGGAGGGCTCTGCCTGCGTCTTCCTCTCGGGCATGATCTTCCCCGCGCTCCAGTACGCCGACTTTGACAACTTCACCCAGGTGCTCACGGCGATGCTCGTCTTGCCGCCGACGATGGCCTACGCCGAGGCGATTGCGCCCCACACGATGGACACGCCTGTCCTCATGATTGGCTGCGGCTTCATCATGTACGCCATCACGACGTACTTGTAAACGACATGTATATGTAGTAACCATTAGAGATATCATCGACATCCAAACAATTAATACACACGTGCTTGGGCGGTCGATTTTTTGGATTTTCGATGCACCAATCAAAACGCATAGAGTATATCGACGCACGAATCACAAATCATGATGATTTTCGACGCACCAATCACACGCGAGACAACGATCGCTGCAGCATCCAAGACAAGCAGCACGAAGATGATTATGTGCCCGACGAGCGGCGAGCACTGCGATGTCTTGGACGACCTTGATGCGAATCGTCGCCCATGGCCTTGACGCCTTGATGTAGGAACAATCGTCGAGGTTTTGGACCAAATTCTGTATACGCCGTGTCCAGAATTTAGTCACCGTGTGCTACGCGGTCAGCGGGAGCGCGCTTGTCTGCATCAAGCGAGCAAACGCCCTCTCGATCTCGATCATGTAACTCGTGGTCGCAGATATCGATGCAGTCGTCGACGCAGCCTGGAAACAAGTTTGCGCATTATACAAGTAGCATCAACTTACGTAGTAGCTGGAACAACAACGCGATGTCGTATGTAGAGAGAGCTCATCTTGTGTTTGATTAGGATCTCACGGTCTCTGGTTCCGCCATGGCAGGAGGGCTTAGTAGGTTCGAGCGACTAACTCCATCATTCCAGTCGACTAAACTTTTGTCCGCAACGAATATTATTATTCTCCGTACCATGTCTTTTGGCTTCTGCAAATCATATCTATGTTATTAATATTGCGCACGGACGATCGCGACAGGTATAAAAATAGGCAAGTAACATACAAAACTATAGTCATAAAATGGAGAAGGAACCATCACGTGAATGCCTCTCCGGTTGCGACAGTTTTATCCGGATCTCGTCTTGGCCAGACATTTTCCCTTTGTCGTCAAGAGCAACCTCGAGCATGATGATGTCCTTGCGCCGCCTTGCCGTCGCCTCGTCCCGCCGGGTAGGCGCATGTCCTCTGGCGTCTACCTAGCTCTCATGGCCACGCCCATGCATTTAGATGAACGTGCGCTCGCTCACGGCCGCGCCGACGCCGTCCGTGGCGTCGATCTTGGAGCCCGAGATGAAGCTGCCGCGCCAGTTCATTGCCGACTTCCCCGAGGAGCACGAGGGCAACAACTTTGAGGTGAACTGGAGCTTGGCTGACGATGACGTTACGCCCCGCCACAACTGCTACCGCAACCGCGCCCTCGCCAACCTTGCGTCGGTCTCGGGCACGTTCCCGCTTCCGATTGAGTCGTCGGTCGCGCTCGAGGAGGCGCACCCTGTGGCCTTCTTGGGCCTCTGGTACGTACTGCTGTGCAAGATGCGCGGGCTCGTACTCATTGCGCTACAGGAACGACGTGACGGAAGAGCTTGGCCATGTCTCGGACTTGTACGTCCACGACGGCGCCGTCGGCGCCTTGGCTGCTGTCCGCACGCAGGTATTCGCACGGTGGCCCTCGTATGGCAGAATTGGACAAGCCGAACTGTAGATCCGCGTCATCTCGGACTCGCCTGCGCTTGCCCACGCGCTGGCCAACTTGATCGTCGCGGTGCCCACTGCCAAGGATCCCCAGACGGTACTGTCGACTGAGCGACGTGTATCTTATGCGCGCATGTAGCCCCGCCCGATCCTCGTTGTTGTCCAGACCAACACGAAGGAGTCGATGTTCGCGTACAACATTGATGTCAACGAGGATGGCTTTGAGCAGGCCAAGATTGTCGTCCGTGGCAACGCGGTTGGCTTGGGTCAGATCCAGGACGCGATCCTCAAGGTCAAGGCGCAGCTCGACGTACGCTCTCTCGTCTCCTCTTGTCTCGTCGCTCACCGTGACACGGCCAGGCCGAGATCCCGTCGAACATTGCCTTGCCGTGCGACGTGCTCACGTCGGCCGACCGCGCGTCGTCGACGCTCGTCTTTAACGCGACGGCCGCCTGGCGCAGCGCGCAGAAGGACTTGCACGCTGCCCACGGCGCCATTTGGCACCCGGAGGTCGGTGTCACGGGCGCGTTCGAGGGCGCAGTCGTGGCTGCGGCGGCCGTCAAGCCTTCGAAGGCGACGGCGCTTAAGCGCCACAAGACGTTCCCGATGGCTCTCACCAAGGACCTCAGCGTCGTACGTTTGTCTTTTGGCGTTTGCGTTGCGCTCATCGCGTGCTGCTGTAGGTGCGCCTGCCGGCGGCGACGGTGGTTGGTCACCCGACGACGGCCATCGTCTTGGCCAAGCAGGACAAGGAAGTGTCGGTGGCCGAATTCGTGCAGCTCGTCAACGGCTCGGAGGCCTTGGCTGCGGCCCTCGAGGTACCGCCACGTCCGAGATCCAATGCTGAGCGAAGTGACTAGGCGCACAAGACCAAGTGCGTCACCAAGAAGGCGTAAGCACACAACTCAAATCACATTCATATGGGGAAGCGACCGATGTAATACACCGCAATGCCACTTGTCGTAGCTGCGTGTGCGCACAGAGATGGGTTCCCACGGCACGGACCGAACGAGCGTCGGGGTGCAGAGTGCGTCGTCGTTTAGGTGACTGGGTCGCGCGCAGTGCCCAAGACGCTATGATCCATGCGCCAAACGAACTAGAATGGTTCAGTGCTACGCTGGTTGAGAGGCAAGTGAACGGAAGTCGACTTCATATTACGGTACTACGAGGCCACAGACTTAGTGGTTCTTGGCGACGACCTTCTCGACGAGCGCGTGCAGCTCGGCAAAACGCGTCATCTTGTGCTGCCACGCGTCCGGCGTCGGCGAATCGGTGGCCGCCGCGGCCACGGCCCCGACAAAGATCGAGCGACCGCAGTTGTCGCCGCCGGCCGTGATGTTCTTGGTGACCGACGACACATACTGGCCGTCCGTGAGGAGCACGAAGAGGCCGCTTTGGAACGAGCCGGGGAGAGGGCACGACTTGCCGTACTTGGCTACCGCCGCGTGAACGTCCGAGGATGCCACCGCGTCGTCAAGTACACCTTGGATGAGCGCCTGCACCGAAGCCTCCACACGAGCATCGCTGCGTGCCGCAGTGATCGCGTCCTTGATCGAGCTCTGCTTGACGACGACCGCCTCCAAGATGATGGCGCCGGCGATCGCGACGTCGATTGCGAGAGGCGTCGTTTGGTGCACGAGCACGGCTTGGCGCACGACATCGAGGAGCTCCGGCTTGCCCGCATACCGCGCAACGAGAAGCGGGACCTTGTTGAGGCCGTGGCTGTCGTCGTTGGGGCCGGCGAGGTGCGGGAACTTCTTGCCTTCGGCAGCGCGGGCGACGAACTCGCGCATTACGCCATTCAAGCGGCCCGTGTACGTCTGCATGGCCGCGAGCGAGACGTCCGAGAAGGCTTCGGCGTCGAAGACCGGCGCGTCCGCGAGGTGCTGGAGCAGCGGCACGATTTCATCGCCGTACGGCGAGAGCGCACCGTCGGCGTAGTTGTAATACTTGTTGGCCGGCGGCGACAGAAAGGCCGGGTCTTTGCCGGCAATGCGCTGCGCGAGCTCGCTGTCGTCGTAGATCCAGTGCAGTGGCATCGACGCAGCGTCGCTCACCAAGGCGCTGATGGCGGCGAGCGCGGCGCGGCGCTGGACGAGGGACATGGTGTTGACGGGGAAAATCCAATCTGCCGGTATCTTCGTGGATCGCGCTTGGATGCTACACCATATGGGTGCGTATTCCTTTCCCATATATTAGTGTTTGAACAGGGCGTCCCGCGCCATGCCTACGGACCTGTCAAGACAACGCGGTCATTCATGAGTGATGTCTAGTGTAGCTCAATATGCAATGCTAATCGGAAGGACGGCATTGACGCCGGGTTCGCGTTTCCGTTTGAACGTCGGGAAGCGTACTACACTATTTCGATACGCCGATCTTGTTCTCGGCAGCGTTCGTTGGACTTCACGGGATGTTTCATCCGAGGTCACTGGAATAAGCCAGCTTCGATATTATCGAGCGCCTGCGTCCGCAGTGTGTGGACCCAACCAACGGGATCGATGCCCCGCCGTCCATTGGAGCCACGTGGAGATAAATGCAATCTCGAAAGCAGTCGCCAACGTCTCCGCGCTGTTTCATGGGATGTCAAGACGTCGAGTCGGATGAAAGTTATCGACGTTTTCACAATGGCGAGCTTGCTCAGGGGGCAAAGGGCCTTCATGCCATGACCTCGGGCGGGTTGCTTCGTAGGCGTCGAAATCTAGAATGCTAGCTCTACGACAGCACGCAAGATACGCCCCTTCGTGAAAAGGTCGTTTCGACGCACACAACACCCAATTTGTTACATTAGACCGTTGGGTAGCTGTAACAAACAAGTGGACTACCGAAAAGTTCTCTCGGAAGCTCATGTGTGCTCTTGGACCCTGGATCTGGATCTGGGCCGCATTATCTGAGCGCTCGCCCCGTGGCTTTGTGAGCTTCACCCCGCGTCCGAAGTCATGCGTCTCCATGTGACACACCTCCTGAACCTTCGCCCGCGCTGCGTTCCCAGGCGTCTACCGCGAGAACATTTCCATCGAGCAAAATGTATGAAGCTTCAGTCGAGTTTGATGTCCAATTCTGGGGGCGGTTGCTCGGAAACCCGGTTTCTGCTTATACTTTTTGAAGTACGGTAGTTTCGAAAACGTTTGTCTGCTGTCTACGAACACATGTACAATGCACTTGTCTCAGCTCGAGTATATACGAATTGTACAGTTAGCACGTCAACGTAGACGAGTTTTCATGCGTCTTTAGTGTGATCAATCTGTCATTCGGCGCCATCACAGACCGTGTGGTGATCATGAAGGCGACATGCAGATGGCATGCGGTGCGCTCGCTTTCAACTGCATCCATGCATCGCTGCGTGTTAATTGGTGGCCCTAGCTACCGTACATTTGCACGCTACGGGCGCCTCGAGACGAGACTTGTCTGGTTCGCCAGCGACGACGCGGAAGGTGGTCAGGTGTCGAGCAGAGTCATTTCAACTCGACTTTTGACGCTAGGACGTGTCGCTCGAGGTCTTTCATTTCGCGTGCGCGTCTTCAACCCGGCGCTACCTGGAGGTGTGAGTAGCGCGTAGCCGGCTGCGTCGACAGGCGAGGTATCGCACAGCCCCTTCCGTTGATCGGATCTCGCAGGGCACGTGATCCGGAGCTACTCGGACGTGTCCAGCGTCGCGAGTCTTTCGAACCACATTTGCCATGACGCTGCCCAGCTATCTCGTCAAGGACCTCGGCGCCTACGTCCAGAGCCGCGCCGACCAGCTGGATGGTGTGTGCTGCCTCGACGCAGCGCCGTGCCAGCCGCACGGGACCAAGGCGCCGACGGCGTCGCCGGCGTCCTGGGTCATTTTGTACCATCCCGAGTTGCTCTTTACGACGCTCGTCGAGCTGCTCCTCGATGCATTTGGCCCGAGCACGCCAGTGTGCGTCAACGTGCTGCTTCCGGACCTCGCCCGCGTCGTGACGCCAACGCAAGTGCTCGCGATCGAGTTGCCGCCGAGCGCGCTCCTGCTGCCGTCGCGCTTTGCACGGCCCGCGTGCGTCGGCCACGTGCGCTTGACGCCGATTAGCTTGCATGCGCCCTTGGGACTCGCGGGCGCGACGAGCGTCGAGACCATTGCCGAGCTCGCCAGAGTGTGCGAGCAGCAGATGCAGCCGGTTGTGGCGCTCTCGCTCTTGTACTGCACGTACCTCACGCTCGGCCGGTCGTTGGGCCCCCGCAACGCCAAGACGCTGGCGGTCGTCGACTGGATCGGCGACGTCCTCCTCGACGTGCGCGAGTACAAGCTCGCGATCGCGTGGCTCACCGAGTCGTCCGCATCGTCGTCGCCCGATGCACTGGCACGCTGGACGAACCTCGGCTTCGCGCATCTCCAGCGCATGGACACCAAGCGCGCCGTCGAGTACTACGAACGCGTCGCCCGCGCCGTCGCAGGAACGAGCGAGGTTTGGTCGGCGACGATCGACCTGGCGGGCGCCCATCGATTCGCAAAGGCGCTCGGACCTTCGTGGGCGCTTCTCGAGTCGGTGCTATCGGCGCCTCTTGGCTGCGAGCGGCTTGTCGCCGAAGGTATTCACCACCATCTCGATCGCCATGGTAATAGCACGATTGGTGTAGCACACCACGCCGCAGGTCTCGTGCTGGCCAACATGCATCGCTGGAGCCTCGCAGTCGAGTCGCTGCACCGAGCGTATCGCGCTCGCAAGACGCTGCTCGGAAGCGTTCACACGGCGACAAGTGCCTCCTTCTACGCTCTCTACTACGTCTACGTGACGAGCTCGGCAGCGACCTTTCCCGGCCGCTCGTCGCTGCACCAGTTTCTCGCGACGGAGTGCAACGATGGGATGGTGCCGTGGGGTGGTCGGTACTGCGTCTACTGCGGCGCACCCATGGGCCAAGCAGCCGTTGCGTCGCGGCGCTGGGGTGGCTGGACGTACCTCGCGTGCATGCCTTGCGCGACAACGTCGCTGGCCGGCGACGCCGTGCTCATGTACCGCTTGCCGAACGAGGCGCTGGGCCTCTCTGGCACACTCTAACTTGCCTGTCTATTCTACGCCACCGTGCTCCATTATTAACGGCTGCGACAGCTCGCGCCGCATGCATGCGGACCACAGAAATCGATCAATTGTACTTGAATAGGAGAATTGCCGCGGTAGCACCTCCTACGTAGTTGGTTGCTATCGAAAGGTCTCGGTGGCTATCCTGTGGCGCGTCATCGGTCGCAACGGTGTGTGGAGTTTCGTTGGAACGCTCCAGCCAATTGCACCGCTTTCATAGATACGGACCACGTCCAAACCAGCATCGGTGCTCGATTTGCGAGGCCGGCTGCGACTCGTAACTCTCCGCCCAGACAGTGTTCTTTTGCAGAGCTTGCTCCTCTCGGCGCAGCGGACACGTCGCGCGGGGTGCTACTCTTAAATCTCTTGATAAACCACTCTTCCTCACCCTTGCTACTCACCTGCGCCAGTCTACTGTACAGTATTTCGGGCTTCTTGCGTTTGGCTCGCATATAAATGTAGTATGCTTCCTGCACGGCCTCGCCAATCAGTCAAGGAGAGACGTATTGGACGTGCGTCGGATATCAAACTGCAGACGTTCTCGTGGCCACGACATTACTTGCATTCGCAGCTCAGCGCTTCTCCCGCGTGTACCTGGCTGGTTGATCCACAATTGCAGTCAGTATCCATGGGACCCGTTTCGTTTGGTATTTTCGGAAATGGTCAATGTTTCTGTCAATAAAACGAGAGATATACGTCTACAATGGCAGCGAGCAAGACACGACGATGGACCGCTGCGCCCCGCTCCACACTATCACAGAGAGCAGGTTATCGCCTGGCCGCTGCCGGCGTCTTTCGACATGCTCGTAGACGGACTCTACGAAACGGAGAGCGCTCGACGAAAGAACCTACTCAGAGAAATCCTCACAAGCGTGGCAACTACATCATTGTCTGGAGCATCCCGAGGCGCCGCAACACACTCTCAACGCTTGATCAAAGGCGGATGCTCGTCCCTACGGTAAGCTTGAGGGCATGGGGCTCTTTGTTCTGGTACATCGGTTTGATGGTCATTTCTAGGGCCACAACGACGCGTTCAGCTGAGGGTCAGTCGGTTGGGATTCAAACACAGGAACCCACTCGTTTGCATCCCCTTTATTCAAAATCTGCTTAGCAGCACTTGACGATGATGAATCATGCTCTACACATGCCTTCAAGCAGCTGGACGAAAGTCGTTGATGATGCTGTGCCTCATATGCTGGCAAGACGGCTGAGGACAAGGGCTTCTGACTTTGACGCCTCGCACGAGCGTGCATGGGATGCACCTGAAACCCATGAGCGGAATTGCTTGAACTAGTGAACACCAACGAGCAGCCACTGCCAACGCGGTTGAACCCGGCTTTTTGGATACACAAGTCGACTATAGATGAGATTGCCGCAGATGTACAAGTTGAAGTCTGTAGCAAGTTTGTACTCGAAGGCACTAGCGTCGCAAGTGGCACGAGCACACGCGTGGAAGGAGCCCTCATTACCACCAAGAGGCTCGCATTGATGGGCCCTTGCGCTTTCATTCGTGACCGAGGTCTTCCATTCAGCAACAGCGCAACGCTTTGCTACGACCTCAGTGCACGCACTCGAGAGATGGACCAAAGGATAGCTGCTTTCGATCATTTCGACGAGAGCAGGGTTAAACAATGCTTCACAACGGTAGGCCAAAGTCATCGCAGTCACATGTATGCCTCGTGGCATCACCTCACTCCAATCCACACGAGCTCATCAAGCGAAGTGCTTTACGATGCGTTCGACAAGGTAGCTTCGTCTCTCACTTTGTTCAGCTCACACTCGCCTTCTCAGCTCCACACATAGCAGCAGCAAATCGCACCTCTCTTATTTTCCGTCTCTTATTGATGGCTCTCTCGATCGAGGCTACGCAACGGCAAGTGACTGCGCATCTCGAGTGGTGAGGCACAGCGGTGGCAGTACAAGTATGTGAATGGAGCATCGCACGACTTGAAAATGCCGCGCCGCGAATGGATCGCCGGCAGCTTGCGCACACCGTTTGAGGCCAGTCAGGCATAGCTGCTGGCATTCGCGCCACGCCATCCCGCAGCTTTTGCAGTCGACTTGGTTCATGACGATGTTTGTCTCGCGATGAAAAGAAGGCCCACATGACGAACGCAGTCCATGTCCTGTCGTGCTGAGGACCAAACTGCAGTAGACGCCACTCGTAAACGTCCAAGAGGTAGCTGCAGCCACTCTCGATGCTCGAGAGGCAGCAGTGCAGCACGCCAAGCTCGAGCCAACCTAGACACACCGCGTTATGATCGCATTGCACTCTGCAGCCACACCGTTGTGCAGCATGTCTTCCCACACGTCGTCGCACGTCGCTTCAAAACTCTTCTCGGCCGTCGCCACGACCGACACGACAACGTTCATCGCCGCCTCGAACTTGCCCATGTACCGGTACACGGTCGCCACCTCCAGCAGCGACTCGAGCGTCACAAACGCTGACGGCCCCGCCTCGAGCTCGTCCAGAAGCGCGACACGCTCCAGCAACGAGCGCGCTTGCGGCAAAGCCTGGCGCTGCAAGAGCACGTGCCCCAGCGTCGCCATGCAGTCGTGCATCTTGGCCGTGTCGTCTACCTCGGCTGCGTCAAAGCGCTCCATGGCGTCGTGGAGCCAGTCGTAGGCGGCGTCGTAGGCATGCAGCTTGCACAGGCACTCGCCGACAGCCACCTGCGCGTCCAGTGTGTCGACGGCGGTGGGTCCGTGGTGCACACGGTGCGTGTAGAAGCAGACGCGGAAGAGCGCGAGTGCGAGCGCGGGGTCGTCGTCGATGAGTCGGTCACCGAGCTCGCGCCACGGCGGCAGTCGATGGAGCTGCGCCATGGGTAGGGCCATCGGCTCGAGGGTCACCGGGTGGTGCCATGGTAGTGTTGTCACCGGGTTCAAGCTCCAGTGTTGGGGTGTGGCTTGGTCGGACGCTTGCTTGGGGTTGTCAAAGCTGAGGGTCGAGGGTCGTAGCTGCACGCAGAGGACGCTGTCAACCATCGACGTGGTGCGGAGCTCGAATACTGTCGTCGGCGGCAGCACCCGAGTGAGGCCGAGGATAAGATGTGTCCAAAGAGACGCTGGTGGGCACAAGACAATCCACGCTGTCACGTCAGAAGATGCCAAAGGCCAAAGGCGCTGGATCACAGTTGCGCAGGTCGCTTCGTCGTCAAGTTGGCCTCGGGTCGTTGCCAGCTCCTGCTGCAGAGCAGCAAGGGCTTGAATTGTAGCAAGGGATGTCGTCGCGCGCATGGTGAGGCTTCCTTTGTGCAAGAGAAAATGCGTCGTTGAGGTTCTGGCCATGCAGTCAACTCAAGTACGACTATCATGTGGACGAGTATTAATATTCGTACAGTTTTTGAATTGTAATATTCAATTTTGCATCGATTTTAAAACAAGCGCCACTCGCACGCATCCCACTCGACTGCCACTGATTGCAGCAGTGCGCATGGCTGTGCTCCATTTCCCGTCCAGTGCACAAGGTCTACGAATCATTGAAGCACCCATATAGTGTGCTAAGCAGGACGCTTTGAAGAAATTCGCTTGGCCACGTAATGACGAATGTCCTTGCAGCTCTTCTGGTTGAAGATGTTGTGTATGTGCCGGCACCAGGAAATGGCTCTTGGTGCCATCAGAGTTACCATTGATCTAAACTGCGAGGGTACTACAACCGATCCCGTTTGTTTGTTCATTGCCTCGCCAGTGTCATCAGCCCAACGCTTCTGAGCCAGAACAATGGCCTGCGTGATCGCCTCTCTCTATCCCGTTTACACTTGGACTAAGGCGAATGATACAGTATAATCACGAATGACTGACAGCCAAATGCTGTTAAGTCAAGGCAAACTAGCTTTCCTATCGACCCGAAGATATTGCTCGAATCATCCAGCTTTTTGGCGCGACGACGCGATGTACCCCGTCTGGTGCTGCACGACAATCTTCCGTTTTCGCCATGTTGGGATCTAGGTCGTCTTGGCTTGGATATTCGCTGGCCGTTGATGTCGCTGGTATATATAATATCGTGTCGCTGTACACCAGGTCGAGACGGCCCTAAAAAGTGCAAGGTGGTGTCAATTCTGCGAGATTTGCGTACGATGTGCGGGTTCCCGTGCAAGAATTTACCAAGCTAAACAACAATGCCCGACGCTAATGATTCGATGTGAAACTGGTCCCTTTATCGTGCAAGCGAAAAGGAAACTTGCTTTAAGCGTGGTGGATATCAGCATGAGGCGTGCTGAGAACATCAGCTTTGGCGGTAAGCTTCGGATGGCAACTTGGGCGGCAAGTCCACGCAGAGCCCGTGCAAGCAAGTGTACCCTTGGTGCAAGCAGTGCATGGATGACAAGTCTTGTCTGCTTCTCGACCCAAGATGAACGCTTTCGTCGGGACTGGCAACCTCGCATCAGTACTTGTACTTTGTTCCGATCTCTCAAGACGGAAGCTTGTGGAGAGGCAAAGATTCCAGCTGCAGCTCCCTCGGGGATCGAGCGTGGTTGCGTCCAGCACCGTCGAGAGCTACTGCTACGCACGACATTCTCGCACGCGACAGCTGGCTGCATCTGGTCTCCTAATAAAGTAAATGAAAATATTTCATTGGCAACTCCGCGTACCCACCAAAAATGCGGCAGTGGCGCCAATCTCACCGCGGGCACCAGTCCCACGTCCCAAAAAACGCGAATGAGTCTCGGATCACTTGTGAAATTGCACGTTATGGGCACACTCGATACCTTGCGCCTGCTCCACGCACTCCACGGGCCCGACCAAGAACTCCGTAGCCTCGTCCAACGGTGGCCGTCCAGCAGCACCACACCACCGCACTGGGCTGTCGTCGCGCATCCGATGGCGCCGTGCCACCAACTCCTCGAGGCACTACGGTCATGGCTGTCGCCAACCGTCGTCTTCACGCAGCTCACAGATCGCGGCGCCGTCAATGATCATATCTTATGCGTGCAGCTACGACCCTCAACACTTGTGCAAGCCCCATGGATACTGCCCGTAGAGGAGGCTGACGTCGCCAACCCGATAGCCAACGTGATATCAGTACCATGGCACCACCCGATGACCCTCGAGCCGATGGCCCTACCCATGGCGCAGCTCCATCGACTGCCGCCGTGGCGCGAGCTCGGTGACCGACTCATCGACGACGACCCCGCGCTCGCACTCGCGCTCTTCCGCGTCTGCTTCTACACGCACCATGTGCACCACGGACCCACCGCCGTCGACACACTGGACGCGCAGGTGGCTGTCGGCGAGTGTCTGAGCAAGCTGCATGCCTACGACGCCGCGTACGACTGGCTCCACGACGCCATGGAGCGCTTTGACGCAGCCGAGGTAGACGACACGGCCAAGATGCACGACTGCATGGCGACGCTGGGGCACGTGCTCTTGCAGCGCCAGGCTTTGCCGCAAGCGCGCTCGTTGCTGGAGCGTGTCGCGCTTCTGGACGAGCTCGAGGCGGGGCCGTCAGCGTTTGTGACGCTCGAGTCGCTGCTGGAGGTGGCGACCGTGTACCGGTACATGGGCAAGTTCGAGGCGGCGATGAACGTTGTCGTGTCGGTCGTGGCGACGGCCGAGAAGAGCTTTGAAGCGACGCGCGACGACGTGTGGGAAGACATGCTGCACAACGGTGCGGCTGCAGTGTGCAATGCGATCATAACGCGGTGTGTCTAGGTTGGCTCGAGCTTGGCGTGCTGCACTGCTGCCTCTCGAGCATCGAGAGTGGCTGCAATTACATCTTTGCTGCCTTCCAGGCGTCTTTGGAGCTCTGGGGGCCGCAGCACGACCGGCCTTGGACTGCTTTCGCCGCATGGTGCTACTTTTCGGCGCGGCACCACCGCTTTGACGATTGCGGGGAGGCGCGGAAGCTCGTCGCTGGCGTTTCGGAATTGCCAGCAGCGATTTGCGACTGGCCATCGCGAGTGTGTGCGACGTGTGCTCACCGTATCGCTGGCCCCGTGTACAGCACGACCTCCGATGTGGCGTGGACGTACCTACGTTGTGGATCGTGCGTCGCCACCCATGTGCATGTTGCGCCGTCGACGATGCATCTGCCGCCGCGCAGTGTCAGCGCCGTTGTGTCCCTCGTCTTGTAGCATGCGATTATTGTCCTTTTCTGTAGCTACGGCGTGAATTCTGTTGTGTTGATCGAATGAATGGGTTGTCGCCTCGTGTCCGAAGGATGGCCCTACGAGAGAGAGGCGTTTTCAAGGCAAGACCAGCCGGTTGACATTGCGCCAGGTGATTTTTTACCAGGGATTCGTAGCCCGTTCGTGGCAGTGAGACGCCAGCACTCTCGCGATCACTCCTCTGTTTGTGAGTCTCTTGTTTTTGCAGGCAATTACAACACACCGGTTCGGACACGCTCGTGTGCATCGAAGCGACACATCCATGAACTCTTCGGAGACACTTGTCGCCATGGAGACTCATCGCGGTGCACCAAAACGGAGGGTAGGATACGTCCCCATTGCACTTTCTTTTCTTCTGCGTGAGCTGCGACGTCGGACTTATACACAGTAAGTCAACTCGACAGCGTTTACCTTGGTCGCCTTCCACCTTCGTCACCGCGTCGGTGTGCTCTGCATGTGCCTTGTTCACTGGGCGTTAAGCAGTGCGGCGTTGGAGAGGCGGTATCGCCCACACTGATCCCTTCGCATCGAGACCGCTGGTCTCGCTTGAAGCTTTTGTTGATTGTACAACTTGAGAAACTGTTTCTGCAAAAAGTTTTGAAACGTCAGACATTGAAGTGACAAGGGAAAGGCCAGCACGCGCACCTCACGGGAGCTTCAAGGTCAATTGTAAGTGCTTGTCTTGCTGCGCTTCAGGTCGCAATGCGGAACGCACCCAGTTCGCGGCAAAACGTGCAAGACACTAATTTGTTGCCGAGACCACGACTTCCAAAAGAGCATCACGTCCTGGGGCAACGTTAACGTGACCTGGTATATCCCCCGTAAATTCGCACCCGCTATTCGCTGCTTGACGTGAACAAGACTTCTTACGTTTAGGGCTATGGCTACAACGTATCGCGCTACCTCCGCGCTACGCAGCAATAGACTGCATCGGTATCGCTGCTTCACTTTTATTAGCACAAATGTGTATCGATTGGCACTTGGTCACGACCAGGCGCCTTGAAAAAGCACTCTTTGTCGCGAGTCTATTGCGTTTTGCTCAGATGCACACGACAATGCGGCACAGAAAAGGCAACTCGAGCCAGACGTCTAACGCTGCTACCAAGGCCTTGCTGATGCGTGTATTAGTAGTACATGGTGGATGCTCGAGTCTCAAGCTTGATGGCAACGACTTTTTGTGGCTGACCTAACGAGCAATCGCGCCTTGGATCGCACGAATTGCGGCCATCGGATTGGCTGTCTGCACTAGTCTTCCTGGCTTTTGATTGGGTCTCCCGTCCCGTAAACTGTAGCCATTTTGTGATACTAACGCCCCGATCGTGCGTCGTCGCACGAAGTTGGCAGCCGGGAAGGTCAGGCGGGATGGGCGCTCCGAGTGTAGCACATCAAGATGCAACTGCTTCCTGACGATGGATGCCATGACAGGCGCGTCAGAGTGCTTGCTCCGCACTACGCGGTGCGTCTTCTAACTTTTTGAGATTCGTACTCTCAACGCCATAAATATCCTAGGGTGCGGCACAACATTTTCGGATAGTTGGGGCCCTGGTACTGTCGACTTTCACGCTTTACAGCTAGCGCACGTAGTCATTACTAGTAGTCTGCATCATGGATGAGGCTGGCGCAGCAATGATCTTAAGTGCGGTGATCGTGGAAAGATTCCAAGTTGACATTCAGTTTCTGTGACACGCCAACAAAACGTGCACCACGTTGAAGACCACTGTCACGCTGCCAGTCTATTGTACGATGCTGCTCCATACTCTTGTAGTACGTTTGCTCGTCGTAGTTGCTGTTCGCTGGTCGGGATTTCTTGTGTAGCCTCCCTGTACCGGCAGGCAGGCGAGCAATGCGCCCACGTAGTCGTTCGTTGCAATGGCAGCCAATCCTCCTGGATATGAGCATGTACGGTCTGGCGCACGTGCAGTAGCCAACTTTGCTGAATCCAAGAACAGTATCGAGCGCATCTTCGCGAGGACCCCTCCCTTGCACAAAGTCGCCACATGAATCCACCGAATAAAAAACAACCACAATAATCGACGCGGCAATCGACGGGCGTGCTCTTCGGTTCTGTTGTGATCACCGACGATTGAAAGCAAGCAGTAGTTGTAGAGCGCCGGTCGTACACACGTGAGCATGACAAGTTGGACGGCGCGACGCAATTGCACTATCTTTACTACCTTGTAGTCGAGCGTTGCTTCCTTCGAAGCATGTACACGCAGAAACGCTTGCTCGTCGTCGCGGATTTGAAGCCCCCGCGCGCACAACCACACAACGAGCTACAAAGTAATCCAAGGCTGATCCAACAACAGCTGCTGCAAGCATCGATCGCGCACTGGCGACTGAGCTACAGTATTATCCATCGCATTTGCGTCATACCGTGTCATTCGCATCTCCACCACGTGTTGCCGGGTCGAAAATCTACAGTAGTATATGAGTAGCTTCCCTTGCCCGCATGTACAAAGGGTGATTGAGGTGCACCCCACCCACACGCTCCTACAGTATCACCGACCTCATTCAAGTACATGTACTGTACCACAACATGCCTCGGAGCTCGACAACAGGTACGACTTGGCCCGCGGGCGATGTCACGGCAAGATTCTCTATCTCCACAACAGTTATGCCCCGGCCGAACCGGACAAGCGCGAGACCTTCTTCGCGACGCTCCCAAAGCGCTTTGAACCAGACGCAAAGCACATTGTAGGTGTCGACTTCAACGTCACATTGTCCGACGCCCTTGACTCGTTCGAGCCGCTGCCGGAGAACCTCTAGAGTGTCGAACAGCTCCTGCTCTAGCTGCATGAACTTCGCCTGGTGGACGCGTACCGCCAGGACGACCCCACCACGATCTCGTACACTAGCCCGCGCCACAGCACCAGGATAGACTTCATTTTGTCTCGGAGACTCTGTACGTTAGCCCCCCGACCCAGTCAACACACGCCAACACGCGCTCGAACCACTCGGCTTGTACGTTTAAGATGCTGACCCGAGCCAAACCACGAACGGGCCCGTGGCGTGCACCACATTGGCTAGCACAACTACCCGAAGCGGCCGCTATCATCGACGAGTGGTTGGACCAGTTCTTGGACTCGGTCTCGATCGGTCCGGCCGCTACGATCGCATGGTCAACGACATGCGCACCCGGCTCCGCCTACTGCACCATGCCCGCGTCGACGCCGACAGAATCTCCGAGACAATAGGTCGAGCGTGAGCTCACCGTCGCGTTGGCGGACTCGAGCTGCCACCTGTGCCAAACCCTCATTGAAGCGATCCTCGACATCAAGCGGCGTCTGGAAGACCACAACACACAAGTTCAAGAGCACAAGACGGAAGCGGCAGTGCAACGTCATCTCGTGGAAACCGCCCGATGCACCAAGTACGACTTGCGGTCTCCGTCAATCAAGATGCCGGAACCGGACTCGATCCACCAGATGCGCGACACCACCGGTCAGACTCGCACCACGCCGCAGGAGATCTTGCAGGTCCTGCATGCTCGGATTTATATCCTGGCACGACACTGCCAAGTCTGAATAGTTGTGCAACGACCGTAGTTGTACCCTGGATTATCCAGTAGACGTGTTTATTCAATACACACTTTACATTTTGCACCTTACTACAAAAGTCTCTGCCTAATGCGCCTGCATCGATCGGACCCTAGCGGTTTTGACAGGCTACAAGCCCAAGCAAGGAACCGCTCTCACGTGCAGCGCAAAACAGCAGCATGCTACGACGCACGTTACCAACCTCATTTGCCGAGCCACACGTCTCCGCACTCGTCTCCACTCGCGGCTCGACCAAGTCGCCGCTCGACAAGCCGCCCAGCTCTGTGGATTCTAGACGTCGCTATACCCCGCAAACGACGGCCCGCGAGGTCGACCAGTTCCTGGACTTCACGATCAAGACGCGCCTCCCGACCGACATGGCCGAGCGCCTCGGGGCGCCGGTCTTGGCCTCGGAGCTCTACGACTACATCCAGCCAGCAGCGCGACGCAAGTCGCCAGGCCCGAACGCGCTGCCGTACGAAATCCTCAAACTGGCGCTCGAGCTCGTGTTCAACCACGCGCTCTTCGATCAGGCGACCCAAGTCCAAGGCACGACGATCCTCTTGCACGAGAGGGGTGATTGAAACGGCCCTGCCAACTACCGTCCGATCAGCCTCATTTCATCAGGCCGCGCTAACGATGTACCCGGTCCCCGACTGGTCGTCGCCAAGCATGGCTGTCATTGCCAACGCCGAGGCGCAACTTTGCCGATCCGTCGCTTTCCCGGATACGGCGCCTGCTTGCGTCGACGGCAGTACCCGACCGGTTCAAGTGTGTGCTCAAGTATTGGTTCGACATTCACGTGGGGCCGAGCACGCTTCCAGCGCAATCGCCGCTGGTCCAAGAGCAACCGCGATGATCCAACCAGTTTCTTCCGGTAGATAGATGTAGATATCTGGTTCGACCTGAGGCCAGAGCGGTACCGTCGACTACAAATCAACGCCGCCATCGTTGTTGCGGGTTATATGCACTCCATTGCAGCATCGGCGCGCTATCGATCGGCTGCTCGAAGCTGTCTTCTCCTAGGAGCGTGAGCACTGGGGTCGACACAACGATCGCACGGGGATGCGTTCTCGGAATGGCACTGGTTTGCAAAGAGCAGCTTCGATGAGACCGTGGCGGCGCGGCTACGAGCAGGAGTGGCGCAGATGCCAACAACCATTGACGGCTGGCCCGGGAAGGTCTGCGTACGCTGCGAGACAGCGATCCGCAGCACGCGCAAAAGCGTACAAGGCACTCCACCGTACGACACTCATTTGTTTTGCGCAAATTGCGCTGACCAAAGGTTTTTCGCGGCAGTATGCGAGCCAGAGAGGGAAAGATTGTGTTGTGATCCCATTCTTTCACTTCTTCTGCTGTCAACTACAAATACTCGTTACTGGTTCAAACACGTAAACAAGCATGGCTCCGTTCAGAGCTCTTTCAGGCACG